CCCTGGGTCCTTCATGGCTCAACGCTGGACAGTGTTCAAATCACAGAGGTGGAGCTGAGGAAAAATGTCTACACAACAGGTATTCAAAACAAGCCTAATGTCTGATTGTTTGGAGCTGTGGGGTTGGGTAAAGCAAGCTCGAGTAGCAAACGTTCCACTGAGCAGGTACTTTCAGGGGTGTGTCAGAGGGTTCCATGGGCAGGGGCACCTTCCACTAGAACAGGTTGCGCCAAGCCCTGTCCAACTTCCAGGCAGCCACAGCTTCCCTGGGCAACCTGTGCTAGGGCCTCCCCACCCTCACAGCCAAGAATTCCTTCCCAATATCCCACCTAACCCTGCCCTCTGGCAGTGGGAGCCATTCCCCCTTGTCCTGTCCCTCCATCCCTTGTCTCCAGTCCCTCTCCAGCTCTCCTGGAGCCCCTTTAGGCCCTGCAAGGGGCTCTTAGGTCTCCCTGGAGCATTCTCTTCTCCAAGTGAACCCCCCCAGCTTTCCCAGCCTGTCCCAGAACAGAGGGACTCCAGCCCTGGGAGCACGTCCTTGGCCTGCTCTGGACTCGCTCCAGCAGATCCACTGGGATGCTGTGGGCTCCGAGCTGTAACTCCCGAGCGTACACCCTGCTCGCTTCCCTGGGCAGGGCTGCAGTGTCAGCCCTGCAAGGGTGCTGAGCCCTGGCTGTGTTTGCAGGCTGCCAGGATGGCGAGGAGCTGGCCGGGCTGGCATTCCTGGATGGCAGCACGGTGCTGCTGTGCTGCGCACGGGGCCGGCTCTGCTTGGCCGACGTGCGGCAGCTGCGGGGAGCCCTGCAGGCCCTGCCCATGCCCGCGGCGCCCTGCGGGGACCGGTGGTGCCTGGGCACCACCTGTGCCACCCAGGGCCCAGGGCTGGGCGCCCAGCCCGTGGCTCGCCTCTCGAGCAGGGGCCTCCTCACCCTCACGGACCTCAGGAAAGCCTCCGAGCCCTTGGCCTCGGCCACGGCCAGAGTCCCTTCTCCAGGCTCAGGCGCCGAGTTCCTGTGCATGTCCTGGGCTCCTGCTCTGCAAGGCTGCCTTGCCATTTCAGGTAGGTGCTTTGGGCAGACATCTCTTTTTCTGGCTGCTTTTTTGATTTGTGTTTTTTGTCAGGGCCCAGTTCACCCCACCTAAAACCCCCCAGTGACAGGGTGGTTGTTCAGAGCTGTCCCTGGAGCCAGCAGAGGTCCAGCTAACCATGCTCTGCAGCTGCCTCTCCCCAACAACTCCGGAAGGGACTGGATGGGTTCTGGGAGGTGCCTGCTGCCTTCTTGGGTGATCAGAGTCCCCAAGCCCACCACAGGCACTGCCCTGGCAGTGCCCATGACAGCCTGGCTGCAGGGCACGGCATTGAAAACGCCAGCTGGGCAGCAGGGCTGCCTCTTGGCCAGAGCCTTGCACATTCACACTGGTCACTCCACAAGCTTTTGGGATCTGATCTGGTGTCTGTTTGCTTGAGATACGCTCCTCGGAGGCACGGGTGCTCTGCTCTCACAGTCCAGTCTGGGCTGTTTGTCCTTGTTCCTGCTGAGAGGTGAGCCTGAGCCCAGCCAGACTGGAGCAAAGCAATTAATCCCCGCGCTCTCTGACTTCCTTTTATCCAAGGTTTTGATGGGACTGTGCACGTGTATGACACGCAGAGCTGGGACAGCTCTGGCAGGGAGGCAGAACCCATCTTTGTTCACAAAGGCCACGCACTGGACGGCAGTGGGGACCCTGCCCTGGTCACTGTGCACACGTGGCACCCGCAGAAACCCCGAACTGTGCTGTCTGCAGCAAGCGACGGGTCCCTGCACGTCTGGGACTGGGTTCAGCCCTGAAGGAAGTGTGGGTAGGTGGTGGTGTGGTGAGATGGGGTGTGTTTCCTGCCTCTGCTCTAGCTGTGTGGGCTGTGGGGTGTCTGTCTGCCTGCAGATACTGTTTGGAGACTGTTGTAGTGAGCAGAAACAACTGTAAAGGTTCTATTTTACTAATAGTAAAAATTCTGGTTATGTTACTTGTTCTCCTGTGTACCAGCCTTTAGATGAGAGCTGTGCCTGTGGTTCTGGCTGTGGCTGCTGGCAGAGAACATCCTGCTGTTGTTTGATCGCAGACTTCTGTCATGTCTGCAGAAGAAAACAGACAAAAAGGGAGAGGGACAAAAAGGAGAGGGACTGGACAAGGGCCTGGAGGAACAGGATAAGGGGGAATGGCTTTAAATTGCCAGGGATGGGGTTAGATGGGATATTGGGAAGAAATTCTTCCCTGTGAGAGTGGTGAAGCCCTGGCACAGGTTGCCCAGAGAAGCTGTGGCTGCCCCATCCTTGGAAGCGTCCAAGGCCAGGTTGGAAAGGGCTTGGAGAAGCCTGGGATAGTGGAAGGTGTCCCTGCCCATGTCAAGGGGTGGAATGAGATGAACTTTAAGATCCCTTCCAACCCAAACCATTCTGGGATTTTATTAAAAAAAACGGGAGTTTGAGGAAACAGGCTGTTCTGTGGGATATTTCCCTGCTGTTTTCCAGGCCCAGAGCACTAAGGGGAGGCTGCACTCCCTGAGGGGTGTTGGCATTTATCACGTGCATGTGTCACGAGCAGCAGCCTCCACTCAGGAAGTTGCAGTGTGACCACAGAGCCTGCTTGCAGCCTGCCAGAGCAACAGGAACAACCTTTCTAGCCCCAGCCTGCTCCAAGCTCTACCCTCCCCCTCTGCATCTGAGAGCACCTGGCCTAAGACAGGCATTGGTGTCCTTTGGCTCTTTTCCCACCAACTGCAAGTTTAGGTTTGATGGAGCTGATGTGATTTCCTGGGCTGAGGAATCAGGCAATGACTCCTGCAACACCCACGCTGTTGCCAAGGTGTTACTTGGGGAGAAAAAAATCTGCCTGCAAAAGGCTCCCTGCTGCTCTGGGTGGTGTCAGCTGGGGCAAGGGGGGCTGCAGGAAGATGAGGTGCAGTGAGGGCTGTACTTCAGGAGCACCAGGGGAAACCCTACACTGGGAATGTGCTGTACTGACCTGTGCCATGGCAACAGCTGTGTGCCTGAGGCTGGAGCCTGCTCTGTCCTCCTCCCAGCACAAGCCATGTCAGCGCTTCCACTCCGCTCCTAGAACTTGCCCTGGCAGCATGTGAAACGGGGGCAGTGTCCTGCCTGAGGCCAGGGGGTTGATGCTTTGTCACCTACTGAAGCCATGGGTCTGTCACCAGCACAGCAGAGGGAAAAGCCTGTTTGAGCCCCGGAGAAGCTGAGCACTCCTGCAGGTATGACTGAGCCTCCTTTCCACCCCCTGAGGGTCCACAGCAAAACCAGTCCAGCTGTGCTAGTCGGACTGGGGGAAATGGGTTCTGACCATGGCCTCCATCTGCTCTTGAGTCAGTTCCTTCCTGCTGTGGAAGAGCTCAGCCTGCCCCTCCCCTGCACCAAGACCTCTGGGCTCCTGAGTTTAGGAGATGGCTTTTCTGCCCCATGATGGGGACCTGGAGCAGCCCTAGAACCCAGCAACCCCAGGCAGCCTGTGGGTACACAGATATGAAGTTTCCAGAGTGGGATCCTGGAGCTCTGTGGGTTTTCCTCAAGCACCCCCGGAGCAGGTGGTTTGGCAAACAGAAGGTACAAAGCTTGGCTGCTGTGGCTCTTCCTTCCTGGGAAAAACACCCACAGGATGAAGGTGTGGCCTTGCAGGAGGTGGGCTCTAAGGAGAAGACCACTGGAGCCTTCCCAGCACCCAAAGTACCTCTTCCTCACTGCCTCTTTTGCCAGACATGGTGGAGCAGCTGATCCCTCCCACATCATGGTGATGCAGGTAGCTCAGCACGGACAGGGAACCAAATTTGCTTGGCTTTCAAAAGAAGTGGGGCTTAAGCAACAGCACGCTTTGTACTCATCTAAACTTCCCTTTTTTCTCCCAAAATAACTTAAGCCTTCTTGTCCAGCTTGAACCAGATTTGACAGGAGACTGGAGATGTCTGAACTACGAAGTACTCACAGGTGCTGTAGGCAGGGTTAGGCACAAAGGACCTCCCAGTAAAGGTGACTCTGCAAATCACAGTGGGCAGTAGGGGCCTTTCTCCCAGGAATGCACCACATGGAGCCTCCAGCAGCCCCTGTGGAGTCACAGTCCAGCTGTGTGACTGTGGAGACCTTGGCTTTGCTGGAGCCAGGTTTGTCCTTGATGGGGAAGGCTGGGACAGCTCCTGCCTCCAGCAAAAACAGAGACACCCCAAGATGGACCAACTTAAGATGGTCTCTCTGTCCCCATAGCATCAGCATGGTAAGGGGAGCTTTAAGGTCCTTCTCGACCCAAACCATTCCATGACTGTGGGACCTTCTGCCTGTGCCAGCTCCCCTGTCCTGAGCCAACAGAAGTGTTCAGGTCGGGATTATTTTATTATTTTTTCTTTCTTTTTTTTTTTTTTTTCTGAGTTTAATAAACTAGAATAATTTATTTGACAGAACACAGAAACATCACAGACAGGGTGAAGAAACCAAAGCAGCCGGTATCAATGATCAGTACAAAGGAACCACTTTACAAAAAGAAGTACCACGCTGCCCCTCAGCTTTACCCAAAAATAACGGGGAGGGGGCTCAGCTCAGCACCCCACAGACTGGGGGGGGGGGGATGGAGCTATCCCCCAAAATGCTCTCAGATGACAATGCTGACTGCAACAGCACAATAAATACTGGGAATGGCCTCTCAGGGGGTGGTGAGACCTGAGACCCTGGCGGGGAGGTCCAGACACCACCAACCCAGGAGGCACAAGAATCTGTTGAAACACTGATTAGGGTGGCAAACGCCCTGCTCCCCTTCTCCCTCACCCCAAATGGGTGCTGGACCCCATGCAGGGAGAGAGAAACATCAACCAGGGGGGCTTTGCAGCTCAGGAGGAGCAAAACATCCCTGGTGTCACCCTGCTGGGGACAAGGCTGTTCTGCCACCACCCTGCCGTGGCTGTGAAGAGGCATTTGAGACCCACAGAGGCCCCCCTGCCGCCAGCCCCAGCCTCACCTGACCCTGGCAGCTCCGCTGTGGAAAGGGACGCAGCTGGGAGGACCCCTGGGCTGGACCGCTTTGAGGGGCTCGGGGGGAAGAGCAGGGGGTGCTGCCCACCCGCTTGGTTTGGAGCAGCTGGGGCAGGGGCCATAGTCAAAGCCAGGCTCGTGCATCCCAGGGAGGGATCACATGCAGCAGGGCCGGACAGGGGGGACTGGCCGTGGGTGAGAGGAGGGGACACCGAGGTGCACAAGTGCCCTTTCCCATGAGAAGGCTGCCCAAAAAAGACACCCCACCCTGTTCTGCTGCAACCCCCCTCCCCATAGCAAACTGGTGTTGAGACTGGGCTTATATAAAACACATAAAAGAGGCAGCTCATAGGAAAGGGCTCTGGGATGGGAAGCAGCAGAGGGCTGGACGGGGATGGGGTCAGAGCGAGCCCCCCTGCCTCCAGCACCCCCCAGCTGTGCCCTGCACGGGAAACAGCAGCTCTGGCAGCTGGATGAAGAGTGACAACACGGCACAGCTGGACAGTAATAGGTCCTGTGGCCATCGGGCGATCCGTAGGCTCCCGGTACAGGTAGAAAACAAAATTAATTAATTAATTATAGAAAAGAGAAGCAGCCTAATGTAGGGGTGTCCCTGCGGCGGGGCGGCGAGCGGGGGGGGGCTCGCTTATCTGTCGTTGAGCTGCGGGGAGTTTGTCCGCTCCTCCTCGTCCTCCTTGTCATCCTTCATGCCTTTAAGTCGCTGGCGGGCGAAGTCCTCAAACACAATGTCGTCGTCACTGGCAGGGACACAGGGACAGGGCGTGATGGGGGAAGGTGGGGTGCAAGGGAGCCCCCCTCCCGCACTGCACAACTCAACTGCACCCCCACCGTGTTCCAGTAGCCCAGGGGGCTCCTGAACACCCCCATCCTTCAGCAAACAGCCTTAGTTTTCAAAGCTCTATTAATTGTTGGGCAACGCACTCAAAAAAAGCCCCCAAGCCCCCCAGGGAAGGATGCACAGCCCCAGAGCAGCGGGTGCAGCATCACCAGGGCTGTCAGCAGTGTTTGCCCCACTCTGGAGGGAACACAGCCCTGGAGGGAGGAGCTGGGTGGTTAAAGCCCCCTGGAACCTCGCAAACACACCACCAGCCCCAGGGGACGCCATGGGGCAAAGCCCTCCCATCCCAACACACGATCCCGGCGGGCTCTTACTGCGGTGTCTCCTGTTTTTTGGAAAGCCATGCAGGGAAGGGAGAGGGAGAAGAGAGAGGGGGATGGCATGCATCATGCATTACAGGTGACGTGCAGGGGGGTTAGTCACATGTGCTGATGCCATGGCACGGCGGGCATTAGTGTGTTAGAGGGTGCCATGCAACTGCTGCCAAGGTCCTGCATTCCCACATGGAACGTGGGAACTGGGGAGGGGGGAGGATTTTAGTCTCTTACTTTGTATCAAGCTCTATCAGATTTGTATCTATGGGCGCTTCGTTCTCTGGAACTGAACAGAGGGATTGCACAGTCACGGGGTGGTCACTGCCATCCCACACTCCCCCCCAGGGTCATCACCACTGTCCCACTGAGCAAATGCAACCCCCCCAGGGTTTGGCTGCACCAGGGCGATAGGGACACCCCCATGGTTCTAACCCTGGGACCCAGTGAACAGGTCACCACAGGCTCAACAGAAGCCAAAAAGTGCCCTCCACACACCATCAGTGGCCCCCTCTGCCCCCACCTGCCCCCCAGGGATACTGCCCCCATGCCCCAGGGCACTCACTGTCCCGGTGTGCCGGCTCCTCCCTGGGTTTGGGATGCATCAGCGTGAAGGGCAGCTCCACTGCCACGTCGCTGCAAGAGATGCCAGAGTAAAGCATGGGCCTGCCTGCACTCTGCAGGCAGAGTCGGGCAGATTTGAGGGTGGAGGGCAAGGACAGAACAGCACCCCCATTTCAGCTGCTGCAGAGCCCACAAAGCTGCTAAAACCTGCTGCTCGGCAGCTCTCGTGCCTCTTGGCTGAGCTTGACCCCAGGCAGGGGGGATCAGCACAGCCCCCCCGGGATGTAGGGAGGCAGGAGGGAGAGCAGCATGGCAGAAATCTGTCTTTTAGCAGCTTAAAGGATCCAAATCCCTTGGGTTTAGGCTGTGGCTGGCAGTGCCATGGGAATGGCAGGAGGTGCACCAAGTTTCCCAGTGCTCAGCAGGCACGGGGGGTGGCAGGGTGGCACAGCCCGAGCTGCTCCAGGGACAGGGTAGGACAGGGCTCAGACAGAAAAGTGTCCCCCACAGGGAGGGCAAGCAGGCCCCGTGGTCCCTGTAGGACCCCATGGTCGGGGAGCACCATGAGGATGAAGTCCTGGAAAGCTCCAGAGACTCTCCTCCCCATATCTGAAGATGCTCAGCCCAAAGGAGCCACCTCCATGCTCTGGTGACAGTCCCCAGCAGCACCCACTGCCCCTCTCTCTAGTCTGGGGAGGGGGATGCAGGGTCCAAACACTGCCAGCATCCCCAGCCTCGCCACCCTGACCCACCTCTGGCAAGTTTTGGCTTTGGGTGAGACAGCATCCCCAGCGCAGTGGCATCCCAAGGACAAGCATGGGGTCAGGGTGGCAGCACCCTGAGGGGCTGAGGGGTGCCAGTGGGGGGCTGCAGCAGGGACTGTGGGGTGTTGAGGGGAGCGGGGTGTTACCTGGAGGCGAGGTCTCCCAGCAGGCTGGCATGGGTCAAAGGAGACAACACATTAGTCACTGTCCCCCCAAGGACATGCAGCCTCCCCCCACTTTTGTCCCCCCATGTGCTGCTGAGTCCCAAGGGAGCTCTAAGGGAGTGATGGGCCCCACCTGCAGCACAGATCAGTCCCAAGGAGATCAAGGGAAGAGAGGAGGTATGGCACGGTGTGGGAGTCCCCAACACTCACCCTCCTCGTGACACCACCAGCTTCACCTTCACCTTGTAGGAAACGATGATGCCCAGGATCTCCTTGTTGGCTCCATCTCTTAACCTGGAGGAACAGGAAGGTGGGCATCATTGAAGGAACAGCAATGGGGACCAGCCCCCCGTCATCCTGAAGGTCCCCCCACGGGGTGTCCTCCACCCCAAGCATCACCCCTGGAACAGGGGCTGGATGCCCACCAGGGCCAGGTCCTGCCCCCGTGTTGCCAGGGGACAGGAGCCCTGGGGGGTGGAGGGGCTCACAGCGTGCTGGAGGCCAGGTTGGTGTCCTCGTGCTTGAGCTTCCCATCCAGTGCCAGCCCCCGCTTCTCCCGGTTGTTGGCAAGGAAGGGGGTCAGGGTGTAGACTTTGCAGAAGGTCGAGCTCGGGGCCACCATATCACTGGAGATGACAGCAACCATCAGCCAGAGCCCCAGCTGCCCACAGCCCCACAGGTCACCCTGGACATCTCCATCCCAGCTTGGTTAACTTCTCCACATATTTCCATCCCTGCCCCAGCCTGGTGAACATCTCCTTCATGAGGGATGCAGAAGGTGATTTCCCTAAGATGCCACCAAAAGAAAGGTCTCAACCTCCCTGTTCCTCCCATCAGTTCCTGCTTGCTGAGTGCAATGTCCCACCACAGCTGCACTGGGGCGGGAGATCTCCAAGGCTCCCCCAAGGGTCCCCTGAGGTCTCCAGGGCCCCTAATGTCCCCAAGGATCCATCACTCACTCAGCGTCCTCCACAGCCACCGGGCACTTGTACTGGGCGGTGTTGAAGAGGCAGATGTCTGCATACTGGCGCACTGGGGCGAGACACAGAGAGATGGGGGTCAGGATAGGGATGGGGACAGGGACACCACTGAGGGGGGATGTGGCCCTGCTCCTCACCTGAGATCTTGATCTTCTTCACGGTCTTGTTGGTGTTGTTGGTGACGTGGACGTTGACGCTGATGGGCTCTCCGTGGTAGTAGATCTGCAGGGGAGCAGAGCAGGGGGAAGGTGAGGTCCCTGGGGTCACTCCACCAGTGTCCCCTCCCCAGTCCTTGCCCACCTCCTTGTCCAGGGAGGCCTCGAGGTGCAGCGGTTTGTCTGACATGAGGAACTGCCGGGTGGTCTCTGCCATGGGCTGGGGGCCAGGCCGCTCCGGCGCATACTGGACCTTCCGAATCACCAGGCGCACCGAGTTCCTGAAGGAGACAGCGAGAGGAGAACCCAGGCGCTTGGCTGCCCACAGACCACCCTCCTTCTTGGCCCATTTTGGGTGAAATCCCTCTTTCCTTCTGGTCTGCTGTGTCAAAAAGATGCTATGGGAGGCCTCAGATGCATGCCCACCAGGGCTGCAAGGGGGCAGCCCCCTGGCTAGGCCAGGTTGCCCACAGCAAGCATTGGGCTCCTTGCTCAGTGCCTCCATCCCAGCCCCAGGATCATCTCTGACCCAACACTACCCTGGAGAGCAGGTCCATTCTGGAGGACAACTCCATTCCATCCCCATCCCTCCCAAGGTGGGTAACAAAGCAGGGTGCCCCTTCCCTGCTGCCAGTACCCCTAGGGATGCCACTTCCATCTGGGCTGCACAGATCCTCTCCACTCACCTCTTGTGGATCTTCTCCTCCAGGTTCTCAGCACAGAAAGCTTTGACCTCATAGTCCACCCCACAGGCCTGGAAACCAGGAAGGGGGAGAGGGAGGCAGGGAAACCCCTTTGCACCTGCCCAAGAGGTGAGCCCAGCAGCAGCCATCCCCCACAGCCCGGTGGCATGGGAACATGGGGGCCCTTACCTTCCCCGTGTCCTCTGGGCCCGGCTGCAGCGTGACAGAGCAAGGCAGGTTGGGGGGGATCTGGAGGGGAAAGAGGGGTGAGGAGCTTCTCGGGGGGCTGCCAGCACTTCCCTTTCCTGCCCAGACTGGAAGGCAGGAAATGTCCCCGGGGCAGGGGTCACAGTCCCCTCCAGCCCCAGCAGTGCTGCCCCCTGCCCCCCACCTCGAAGGTGAAGGGGTAGGCATGCTCGCCCAGCTTCTTGATGAGCCGCTCCTGCAGCCGCGTCAGGGGCTTCTTCTCCTCGGGGACCGGCGGGAAGGCCTGAGAGTTGGCCACGAACAGGTCCTTGCGGAAGGTCAGCCCCAGCACGTCCAGGTCCTCGCGGCCATAGCGGAACGCGCAGGTCAGCGTCACGAACACTGGGGAGGGCGACAAGGGCAGGGTGCTGGCAGGGTGGCATCATGGTGGGGGGCACCTCGGAGAGATCCATGGGGGCTCATGCCAGTCCCACCAGCACCAGGAAGCAGTGGTGGCCTGAGGACACGCCGTGATGGGGAGATGGGGATACAGCAGCCACCTGTGCCACCTTGGGGTGCCCACCACAGCACTCCCGTCCTCCACAGGACAGGGCACCCTCCGTGGGGACAAGGGGCTGGAAAATGTCACCCAAGGGCCTAGAGATGCCAACGCCTGGGTAGGACTGTGTGAGGACACCAGCCTCCCCGTGTGGCAGTGCAACCTCTGTGGCCCCAGGGATCCTGCGGGGAGCTATTACCTTTTCTCTCCTTCAGGTATTCAGGATCCACAAGCACCACTCCATCTGCAAGGGAAAAGCCAGGTCAGAGACACATCACCAGGACATGGGGACACACTGACAGGGCCAGGAAATACCATGGCAGAGTTAGGGGACATGATGACAGGGTCAGGGGACACAGCTGGGAGGGGACACACACACTGTCAGGGTCAGGAGACACACTGGTAGGGTTGGGGGGAACGTATAGGCAAGTTTGGGGGGACACCAACAGGGTTAAGGGGGTACTTGCCCCTCTTTTACTCAGAGAAGCATCACCTCCTAGCTGCCAGCTGAAGGGTGAGGAGGCTGAAGGCTGGGGAGGGACATGCTGGCAGCAGGGGGACATTCGGCACCCACCACACCCAGGGCATGTGCAAAGCCACCGGGGGACATGAATATTATCCCAAACCAGCTGTTTTCTGCTCCCCAAAATCCTTCCTCCAAGACAGGCCCAGCCACCCCAACATGTGTGTCTCCACCCAGCTGAGCCCCCCCTTCCTGCCCCCACATACCCACGGGGTCCACCACGTCGATGTGATCCACAAAATCCCTCTTCCCCAGGTAGACAGTGAGCTGTGGGGGGGACAGGGGTGTCCAGATCAGCCCCCCCAGGGTGCCCCCATGTAGTCAATCACCCACTGAGGTCCATGTTCCCCATGATCCCCATGTGTCACCCTGACCCTGAGGCACCCAAAAGCCAATGCCCCTCTATCCTAGGCAAAGCCTGGAACCCCTCCAGCTGTACCCAGAGCTGGAGAAACTTTCCCTCTGGGGACACTTGGGTGGCACCCTAGCAGCTTTTCCCCCTCTGTGGGACAGAGATGAGCCCCCAAGTGCCACCCTCCCACCTTTCTCCTGATGGGGAAACTGAGGCACAGGGCAGGCAGTTGCCAGGCAGGTGCCGTGAGCCCCTGCTGCCAGACCCAAAACCCCACAGGCAGGTTTTGCCTGCATGCCAGCACCCCAAAACCCGTCTGCTCAACCCCAACCTGAGAAAAGCCCCCTCAACCCCACTGTGCCTCAGTCTCCCTTCCCGCTGCCATGACAGGGCAGCTTTGGGGTGCAGACTGTCCCCACTCCCAGCCATGCCTGTCCCCCCATGGCTGCCCCTGCCATGTGCCCCTTACCTTCCCGTTGGGACTGGCTTTCTTAAACACCCTGCAAAACAGCAAAGGGGGGTTAGTGCTGGAGGGGGCACCCTCATCCTTCACCCTATGGGAACAGCCCCCAGACACCCCCTCAAATTTCCTCTGCAAGATCCCACAGAGACACGGGAGAAGGATGTGGGTCCAACATGCCACTGCCGGGAATGCCGGAGCGTTCCCAGCCTGTCTGCTGCAGGCAGGGAGCAGGCAGAGGCAGGCAGGGCTCCCTCGCCCGGCGCTGCTGGATTTCAGAGCCTGCCCTGGCACGAAGCCACCCATAATGGGTTCTCCTCGGATAATCCCTCCTCGCCTTTAAATTCCATTAAAACCATCCGGGAAGATTAGCAGTGGTGGTTCAGGCTGGAAAAAAAACAATTTCCTAGGGCAGCTGCTCGGCTCTGCCAAAATGCCTGGGGCTGCTCCAGGATGATGGGCCCTCAGCCATCCCACTGCCCGCACCCAGCCGAGAGGGTGCCACTGCAGGGGTGACCACCTTGGCAATGGCATGGGATACAGCAGGAGATGTGTGGGCACGCCCCTCATCCCCATATTCCTGAAATCCTGTGTCCCCTCTTCCCTGTGTGCCTGCATCTCCACATCCCAGCATCCCCATATCCCTGCATATCTGTGTTCCTGCATTTCCACATCCCTGTATTCCCATGTCCCCACATCCCATCCCCTCGAGAGCTGTGGAGCCCAGCATGGCCTGGTCAAGCTCTGCCCAGGAAACAGGATCCAGCCCAGATGAGTGAGCATGTGGTTTAGGGTCCCCAGGACCCCTTATTCCCTCAACCCCAGACATGCCTCAGGAACACTCTGCCAGGCACATAAAACATTGGGACACCCTGCTGGCTGTCCCAAGCCACTGGGAATGTCAGGAACATCCCACTAGCACTTCCCAGGTGGCTTTTCCTTGCGGAGTGGTGGGGGTTGACTTTTCCCAGCTGAGATGGGACAGCACTTCAACAGTGGGATGCCTATCATGAGGGTTTACTGGCACTGTGGTGAGGGTGGGACCTGCACCAGTGCAAGGGAAGATGGAATTCATGGGAATGCTGCTCCAGTTAAAAAACTGGGGAGATAAAGGGCCCAATTTGGCACAGAAAGGCATCAGCACCCCACAATCAATTGGGTTTGAAGGCCTTGGGGTATCAGAGCACCCAGCTTCCAGAGCCAGGGATAGAGGGGTGATGGATGCATCCTCCTGAGAGCCCAGAGCAACCCACAGCAGGGTTTCCTGGGCAATTAACGAGGCATTACATAAAAACAAGGATGGGGAACATCCTCTGCCAGCCTGTCACCCCACACTTCCCCAGCAGCCCAGACCCAGGGGAGACCCCAGAGAGCGTCCAGCAGGCCGGATCCCAACCCAAGCTGTGCCGGGAAGCCCCGGAAAAGGTGTCCAAGGCTAGAGGCTCAACGTGTGCAGCTTGCAGCCCCTCGGGACGGGGCGATGCTCCTGCCCAGCCCTCGGGACACTGACAGAGCTGCTAATGAACCCAAGAGAGCAGATCGATGGTGGGCGGTACGGGAAGCTGAGGCTCACTGCCCCGCCTGGCACCCACCCCACGCCAGGCAGGAGCCACACAGAGCCCGAGACCTGCACAGCCCCACAGTGGGGGTGCAGGAGCCACACACAGCTCCACATTATGGATGCAAGAGCCCCACACTGGGGATGCAGAAGCCCCACATTATAGGTGCAGAAGCTTCACAGAATTCAAGACCAACACAGCCCCACACTGGGGGTACGGGAGCCCCACACAGCTCCCTATTACAGGTGCAGGAGTCCCACAGAGGCTGAGCCCCACGCTGTGGGTGCAGCAGCCCTGCCTGGCCCCACCCCACGGGTGCAGGAGCTCGGATCTCCCCAGATTCACGTCCCAGGGGCCAGGTCTCCCCAGAAGCACCCATGAGAGAAGGGAAGGGGCATGTGGGGAAGTGGTGGCCTCTTGCTGTCAGGGGGGTGACCCTCGCCCGCCACCGGATCTAGAGGGAGGGAAGGAGGAAGCGTGAAGCCATCCCTCCCCCTTCAGCCCTTCCTGGTGTCGAAACACTGGAGACACAAGGCAGGAAGTGGCGGCCGCCGCTGCCCATCGGGCACTTGGGGCCCCATGCCATGGGCTGGCAGGCCCCATGCCCCTTGAGACCCTGGCAAGCTGCCGCATAGCCAGATCCCACTCTCCTACCCTCCCCCTGCCATAGATCCCATCCCTTAATGAGCTCATTAGGCACCCAGCCAGGGCTAACGATGACTTTATTGAGTGGCCAATAATTGAGTGGGGTCCACTGGATCTCAATTGAGAAGATTTACCAGGATTTGATTCCCCTGGGCATCGGAGCAGAGTCTGATGGCAATACCATCGATTACCTTTGAACCCAGGGCGGAGGAGTCGGGGTTTTCACCGGCTCTCACACTAACGAGGTTGGCGGGCGGCTCTAATTAGCCAGAGCCACGTTAGAAGGGACCTCCAGGGATAAGGAGCCGCCAGAAACCACATCACACAATCCCGCGGTGGCGGCTGGTGGCTCCATGCCAGCCATGCCAGGATGAGCCCGGAGCACCGTGCCAGCCCATCCCAAAGCTGAAGCATCCCACAGGCCTAATGCTGCATCCATCCATCTATCCCCTGCCAGGCTCAGCAGCAGCATCCCCCACCCAGGTTGGAGCTCCACCGACTTCCTTGGCAAGGAAATGCCTTGGCTGTGGGATCCGGGATGTGTCTGGATCCTGCTGTTATTACCAGAGTTTGCTCTCTAAACAACATCCAGGAAGCAGGAGTCTCCCGTCCTGGGCCACCTTCCAGGGCTTCTTATCTTCCTAGTGGAGATCCCTGTCCTGGTCCCAGATCCTATGGCTTCATCTGAGGGAACGAATGGGATAGCAGAGGGACTGGGCTGCCCTGGCACAGTGGGATGCTGCAGAGGGGCTGGATGGGACCATGGAGTGCCAGGAAGAGTGCGAGGCATGCCTGGTGCAAACCAAGATGGGCTCTGCTGCACCAGGATCACCACAGTGCTTCCCAGCCACTGGGAAACCACCCCCGAGCCACCAGCCAGGAATCCCAGTGTCCGGGCATCCCACGAGGGGCAGTGGCTGCCCTGGCTGGGTGCTGGGTGGGAAGAGCCAGGAAGGGTGATCAGTAATGCCAACAGCCACCAACTCTTTCTTCCATGGAGCTGCTTACTCCAGATCTTCCCACTGCAGGGCTCGGTGGCTCTCAGAAAAAGTGGGGTGACACAGAAGGAAATCAGCAGAAATGGGCTTTTGGCGTGTCAGATGGTAAATGAGCTCCTGCAGCTCAACCTCCTGACCAATCCAAGTGGATTTGGGGTTGGAGATCCAAACTGGAGAGGAAGGAGGATTTGTCAGCCTAATTCTTCCCCTCCCCAGCTCCCTCTGTACGCGCTGCGTAGGCAGGGAGAAGATCAGCTCCTGCCCCTCCTGCCGGCATGCCTGCCGATGGGAATGCTGCTTAGTGCGCTCCCCCGGCACCCAGAAACCTCTGTGGGCTGAGCCAGCTCATCCCAGGGATTACACCCAAGGGTGGGGGGAACCCAAGGGGTGCTCCAGCCCCCTGATCGGAGGGGCTACTTGCCTGCTCCGGGGGTGCAACCTGCCAGTTCTCAAGGATTCGGGATGCGGAGCCAGGGGGAAGCAGATAGTATTGGCCACGCCTGGGGCACCAATACCCAGGCAGCCCATCCAGCAGGAACAGCCTCTCCCCAAAATGCTGGGGGGATTCAACAGGAACCCACAAATCCCATCCTGCCACCCCAAAACGCTGCAGTGTTTCTGGAAGGTTCTGCCCTGGCAATGCCGGACCCCCCCATCCTTCCCTCCTGCCACGGGCACGGCGAGGTCAGCAGTGGCACGGCAGCCCCCTGACCCCGATGCCCTGGGGACACAGGGGGTGAACAAGGGGAGGGCAGCGGTGCTGAGGGGTGAGTGGGAGCACCCTGAAATCCCTGGTGCTCCCCGATTAATGGCCTAGGGGACAGAAAGGGATTGGGGTGAGAAACGGGAGCATCAATCCCTTCGCCACCCCGGGGCCAACAGCCAGAGCCAGCCGGGGAGGGGGCCGGCAGAGGACACGGGGCTCTCCCCGAAATCCCGACAGCTCCTTCCCGGGATTGGCAGCCCGGCGGGTCCCTGCCACGCTCTGCCCCTGGAGCCCTGGGGGTCGCAGGGCGGCGGGGGGTCCCCAAAGGCCGGCAATCCCAAGGCAGCATTCCCGTGGGACGGAGCTGTCGCACGTCGTGTCCCCGCGCTCCAGGGCTGGCACGTGCCACAAGCGGGGGGGAGACACCAGCGCCTGGGTCCCCCCCATTCCCTCCCCCAAATCCCTCCGGGCTCCGTACCTGATGGGGAGGGAGCAGCGACACCCCCGAGCACCCCCCATGCCCCCGGCGTGGCGGAGACGGGACCCCCAAACACCCCCCGCCATCTCCGGGTCCCCACGGCCCCGCGGGGGCACCGCACACGGGCAGTCGGGGGACCCGGGGCAGCGCCCGTCCCACCCACCCCGCCGCGCCCGGGGCCGCCCCCGGGAGGTCCCGCTCCGTGCCGGTCCCGGTGCTCACTCACCGGGTGCCTTTGTCTCCCATGGCCCCGCCGATCCTGCGGGCTCAGCCGGGCAGCGCCGGCCGGGCTTGGAAAATTACTGGCTGTGCGCGGCGAGAGCGGCGCGGGGCGGGCGCGGGGCCCGGTGCGGCCCGGTGCGGCCCTGCTCGGAACCGCTCGGGCCGCCTCGGCAGCGCCCGGAACCGCTCGGCTCGGGCCGGGAGGACGGCGCTCGGGCCGGTTCGGAGGCGCTCGGAACCACTCGGGCCGGTTCGGAAAGACTCGGGGCAGTTCGGAGGCGCTCGGGGCCGCTCGGAGGCGCTCGGCAGGGCTCGGCCCGTCCCGGTTCCGGTGCGGGCGCTGCTGCCGCTGCCGCCGCTGCCGCCGCCGCCGCCGCCTCCGCCCGCCCCCGAGCGGCGGCCCCGGGAGGGGGGGCATGGACGGGCAGTGGGGAGAGGGCGGGAACGGCGGCGGGGGGGCTGCGGGGGGCCACACACACGGACGCACACACGGACACGGGTACACTGACAGGCACAGGGACACACAGACACAAACACAAACGCAGACACACACACAGACACAGGAACACACAGGCACACCCGTGGACACACAGAAACACACACAGGGACACAGACACACATGCACACGCAGATATGGATGGAAACAGATGTGTGTGCGCAGATGCAGTTGGACACACAGAGACACGTGTGTGAACAAAGACATTCTTGTGAACACGGGAGAACGCACAGAAACATGTCTGTAAACACACAGGTGTGAACACACACAGGGACGTGTGAACACAGAAATGTGTGAACACATGGACACTGGTGTGAACAGACACGGGCATGAAGACACAGGTATGAACATACAGAGACAGGTAAACAGAGACGTGTGTGCACAGACACAAACATGAGCAGACACCCGTGATTAAAACACACATAAAAGCACGCGTGCACAGACACGCACAGATGTGTAAACACACGTGGGTGAACACCCACCCCCCGATGTGCACACACACGTACACACCCCCACGTGCATGCACACACACGTGCACACACACCTGCACGCAGACGTGCACATCCCCATGTGCGCACGCGCACACGCGTGCACACACGCGTGTGTATACCCGCACACCCACACTGCTGTGCACACACACGTGCATACACTCCTGTGTGTACACACTCACCCATCCCCCCAAGTGCACGCACACGTGTATACACAGACACACGTCTACACACTCACGTGCACTCATACACTCATTTGCATATCCCTGCCCCGCCCCTGTCACGTCCCTCCTCCAATGGGATCCTGCCTTCCATGCAGACAGCCCCGCTCCTCCCTTCTCATTGGCTGCCTGCCCTTCCCGCCCGCCCCCTGCCGCAGAGCAGCCAATGGGGGAGCGGCCTCCGGGTAATCCTATTGGCATCTCCAGGTGACCCCGGTGGCACTTCCAGGTGATCCGCCCTGGTGGCATCTCCAGGTGACCCCGGTGACACCTCCAGGCCGCTGAAGAACCCCCTCCCGGTCCTGCCCCCATGGCCACTCTTGGGGCCGAGGGGCGTCACTTGGGGATGCCCAGGTGGGGTGTCCAGGGCACACCCGCTCACTCCCGGGGGACACGTGCACCCCACCTTAGGGACACCCGGGAAGCAGGGACAGGGCGGTGACAGCCAGGACAGAGGGACAGCCAGGAAGCAAATCAGGGCTGAGCCCGAGGCGGGTGAGGGTCAGGAGGGGGGCCGTTATATCCCACGTGCATCCAGGAAGGCGAAGGGATGTCACCAAGGGCACGGAGTTATCGGTGGCAGAGGCTGGAGTGGGGCAGCTCCTGGTTGAGGGCCCCAGGCCCTGCTCTGGGACTGGTTTGAAGGATTAAAGGATTTAATCCCAGGATTTGAACCGCAGCTGGGAGCAGGGAGGGTGGAGGGAGCACTTGGTAGTTTGGGCAGATTTTCACTCCAATTTTGGCAGCTTGGGCAGCACCAGCACGTGCCAGCACCAAACCCTCTGGGCACTTCTCCTGCATCAAATTCCGTGGCCCAGGATAAACTGTCATATTGGGCTGGGATGAAAGCGGATAATAAATTGCTCCTTAGCAGGATGGTGGGAATGAAAACCACAGCCCTGATGCGAAGGCAGACTGGGGGTTCTCCTGCCATTCCAGGGTGGCTGCTGGAGCCAGAGGAGCAGCCCAGCGCTGGATCCTGCCCCAATCCCAGCCCAGGCATAAAGGGGTCCCAGAACAGGCCCCATCCTGCATCCCAGCCTAGGATTCCACTGCGGTCCCAGTCCAAGCTGGATCCTGCCCAGGCCCAGGTCCTGGCCAGGCAGGGGGAATCCCTACCTGGCAGATGGGGGTGGAAAGAGCATCTCAGAGGATTGGAGCATCCTGGGATTCTGGAACATTCCAGCAGGGAACAGGGCCTGGGG